TGCATGGAATAAGTGAAAAGCGAACGGAAAGGTTGGCGGCACTGGACAGCTGTTTTGATTTGGTTGAGTCTCGCTGCTCCGACCAGAGATCGAAACCCGAGAACTCAAAGATAGCACGCAAGCGTACCCACTCAGTCATTAAGCAGCTGGTCACTTTGACCTTACACGATATCGACTATTGTTTTCTCGTGTGTTCTCGGTAATTACGGATGCACGCCAAATAATTGGGTGCTAGCGGCCTAACCGGGATGGAATAGGGTTAAGCCCTATTAAACGACTGTCCAGTGTCTGTAGGGCGTTTTTGTGCTAAGTGAAACACGAGTCGGTGGCTTGTATACCATTTACAACATCAACAAGAATTTAGCACTAAAGTGTGAGTAAATGCATCAGATTCTTTTTATAACATTTTTTATGTTTATCAGTACAAAATGAATCTCAGAGGTTTACACAAGAAGCGAATGCAATACGTATAAGTGTTGCACTTGAATAGAGAATCAGAAACAACGTTGCTCACTCTCTCCTTCTCCTTTTCAAAGGTGCTCATCTTGTTTGGAACAAAAAGCTGAGCTTGTAAAGTACGATTCAAGTACGATTCTCAGCTTGTCGAATATCATTGACACGCTGTGTATTCTCCAAAGTGATCACAGTCTTGATAGAAGAATTACACGTAGACCACCGAATTGCCTCTTTGTAGGCAGCTTTTGGTGATTGGCAGGTTTGCTGTCATGCGTTTCGATAACACATGTTTAACCTAGCGGGGTCTGATGTGGTTCGTCACTCGAAGTCCCAAGGCTTAGGTTACCGGTTTACATCAATGAACAACAGGTCATCGTGACCACGGGGTTTATCCCGTCTACTGTTCATCACACAACAATAAATGTACTAATCAAATGTACAACATTTCAGAATCCAATTTGGTCAGTTTGATTGCCATTAGCCGTACGTGAACAAAAATGAAACCACAACTGGTGGACAATTCATCATTCTCAATTGTTGATATTACGACAAATGTCGCGAGATATCATTTAATCGCCTCGGTCGCTGAGGTCAATCAAGTTGACGTACATGAACACGTGAGATTACTCAATAACAGTGACCGAACTTGTGCATGGGGACCGAAAATAGAAACAACAGGATATCCACATGTTAAATGGATTGATTGCGTCAACAATTTGGGGGCTAGAAGTGTGGCTATTAGTGAAGTGTTGCTTAATGGCGTCCAAACGCTGTTGATGCAATCAATTTACTCATCCTGGAGTTAACCTTTTAATTCTACTTTTGGTAATCTTTGTTTACATTTACGCGTTCGTTCTTTATAATTGATCAGTCCAATATATTGTTTGTATGCTAACTTGCTTTAAGTTAATCAGTGAGGAGAGATTAAAAGAAATGTTGACACTTCGTGAAATTTCACTTTTTCGATGTTGACACAGTGGCTAAAGGGGACCTAGTGCTTCAAACTTCATTCATGTCAATCTGCATAACCTTGTTTTACGTTAAGGAAGAAAACAAAGCATGTATCTGCAAACATTTTAAAGATTAGAATTATCTTTTTCACCCAAAGTAAGAACAGGTTTGCACTCCATGGTACTAATTACGTTCGTCATAATCATTGTTCCCATTCCCAATACTAACAAGACTTAGTGGTCGTAATATTAAAACGGTTAAGTAGCATTTTCCTCCTTTGTCACCAAACATCTTCATGGTAATTCTATGCCACTTGGTCGGCTATTCCACCTCCAGAAAACTTGACACTAGGCTAATTTTTAATGAACTAGTTAAGTGATTGATTGTTCAATTATGAGAATGACTTGATAATGTAAACGAACAACTGGTGAGTAAAACGGATTACAGAATGACTAATGTGATTTCGTGTTGTTTTCTAGTATTGTATGTACTGCTTATCATAACTCAAATGTCTGCTTGATTGACGCTTTGTATACTTCATTGTGATAGTGATGTGAGCGGCTTGCGTTTTTTCTGCTCTGTTTATCATTATCTTTGCCGTGATTTAACGATAATCTTGCTCTATTGCGCATGTCTTGCATATGTATTATTTTTCATAGGTCCCGAGTGGTATCCGACGATGTCAGCTTCGCGTGTTGTGATCATGTTATTCTGGACATTCACGTTACTTATGCACGCATTCTGGCAGGCCGATATCACTGCTCATCTAACCCGTGAAGTGTTTCGCCTACCATTCAATACCCTGGAGGAATTGGCTGCGCAGGACAAAGTTAGGCCGTTGTTAATCCCGGGAACGGCTTCCTATCACATGTGCAAGGTGTTTAGGTCAAAATTGTGATCTTGCTCACTGTTTGTATTCAAGTTGCACTATACGCATGCAAAGTATTTTATTGGATTCGTTTGTTCTCACGTGACTACTCGTCAGAATATGATCTCAATAACCAAATGATGTTGAATTCAAGTGCAAACTTTATATATATGTATATAATGTTCAACACAGTATCCCACTGTGGAGCTTAGCCTACTTCCAAAATTTGTACGCTGCCACCGATTATCGAACACACCATAGTCGCTGGAAGTTGGGAGAAATAACAACCTCTTATCCGAATAAATCAAAAACCATGAAAATCCTGGAATGTGGAAGCTGGTTTTTATTTCAGCTTTCTAGCATCTTAAATAACTGTGGGAACCATCTAAATCAAGATGATTGTCGGTTCTCAGAAGGGGCCTGGGAAGTGCCGTCTCATCATGCTCGAACGTTTAGAGACCTGTTACTTCGGGTTGTCACAGAAGCAGACCAAGTAAGCGTTCATCAATTTGGTCATCGCTCTTTGCGCGTTTCACACTTCTTTATCTTGTTCCATCACTGAACAATATTCAAAAGAGACTACAGTTCACGTTTTCCTTGTCCTTTCACCTGCATTTCGTACGTGTACTATGTATCCGGAGGTGTTTTGTTCGGCCTCTGCCTTAATGAAACTGGGTTGCTGAAGACCTATAAATTGAACTCACTGATTTCAGTAATCATGCCAGAGCCTGATGACCGATTTAGCGATTCATCATAACGTAATTCGCTCACTCGACCAACGGCCAAAGGCATAACGTTCTCGGGTGGGATAAAGAGGGACTAATTGTCAAACCCCACTTCATGTAAAATTCCAAATTCGCTCGGCAATTCCATGAAAAGCACTGTTTTTGTTTGTTGAGAAATTAGCTCATTTCGACTGAATGGGAGTTTGATAGAGCCAGGTGCGATCGGGTACTTGTGACGGCTGGATTACCAATCACTTTGAGGGGTTCTTAATATAATATGATATGCTGAATCCACTTGAAATTACAACCGATTCGTTTGAAGGTGATATAGTATAGTGTGTGATTACGCGAGAACATTTGAATTTACCTCACATTCAACTCTACTCGAGATTTGTTCAACCCTTTGTTCAAGTAGGCACCTGGGTGTTGTTCCAGGCGGCATTCACCGAGCAATTCACAAAGTAAGTTCAAATTGGCTTGCAGTGAGAGCCGGAGATCATTTTGTAAACGAGTTCGGTAACCGGGTTGTACCAAGATTTTTATGAAAACTCACGACCTGAGACAAAAGCGCAGCAATTGGTGTTTAGTGTTTCAAGACTTACCACAATGTTGGGAACTGACGTAATTGAAGTTTCTTGGTTTAGCAGCCTTTTTAATTGTATTAAAATATACAAAAACCTACTCGGAGCAGATGATTTCGAATCATTTCCAAATTAAAGCCAGTTCAATTTGTAGATTGTCTGGTTTATATAATCGTCTTTTTTTGATAAAAGTGGTTTGAGCAGGCCCTCGTATTTTGTGATGGGTGTAAAACTGGAAAAACGAGGATATTGTCTGGTTCATGTGCTGCTAGATATGAAGACTGTGCTGAAACTGAAAGAATACGTCTATAAACGATATTCAGATGTTTGACGAATTTCATTTTGCTTTCATTCCTTGGAGCAACTAACGTTTACACGCATAAAGTTTTGCGCTGCATATCGATATTTGAGGGATTCAGTAGACAATCAGGACTTTGATTTATCGATTACTTATGCAACAATGTGGCACGCAGTGACAACGAAAATAAGCTTGATCTACCGCCAATGATGCATATCTAGTTGAATAAATTGTAACGGGACATAATAGTTTGCATTCAACACTCCAACCGGACACAATGTGCTTGCACGCCTAAACTGCTTCACTCAATTACTGCTTCAAGGATTCACTCATTTATACATTTTCAGAACGCAACCGAGGGTTCCGCGTATCGAAATTTGTATGAAAAATACCGCGGTCATAAAATGCATCCGCGGAATATAACACACGCAATCGAGATATTATTGAACGATGCGAGCTACGCGTTGATAAGCACCTACAACCTGATACACTACGCAACACAAAAACACTGTGGTCGGCTGATGCTTTCTGATCGGGCTCAGGTGCAAAACAATATCGGATTTGCTGTACTGCCTGGTGCGACCTTTGTTTATCAGCTTTCAAGTTAGTAAGTGAAATTTGTTTGGGTTGCGCTCCAGTTATTATCGCGGTCAACTACCCAACCAATCTGTTAAATTGGTTACATTTTTTATATTACGAAATATACTTTTGTTTCAGCTGTCTATCATTCGAAATTAGTGAAAGGTTCTGCCTAAATCGACTGCATACAAAAACTATTGTTCGTCAGAAAAAGGTAAACAAGGTCTTGGACAGTAGTAAATCTCATTGGATACCGCACCCCAAGTATGAAGTATAATTTTTTCGGATTGAATTTCCCAAAATCTGCTCTGATCACGTGGCCCGGAAATAGAATCATGTTTACTCCCCGTTCTCGGGTAAATTCTCATGAGAAAACCATTTTGGCAACCTAGTTCTAAGTAAGACGTTAGGTTTNCAATTCTTTCTTCCTCTTGGGATGTGGAATGAAAGGGATAAGACCAATTCGCCATTGGTGAAATGCCCGCTGCTTCTACGCGTTACACAGCCACTGTTTGCAAAGTTCTCTTTTGTTTTAGGAACTAGTATCAGATTGATCGTGGGCATCTTAAAATTAGCTAAATTTCAGAAACACGAACTCAATTTTATTCCAGAAAAATGTTACATAAGCAAAATTGCACCATAAACGAGATTAAACGTTTTGTACTGGACGCAAAATACAGGTTACCGAATTAGGTCTGACTGAGGTTAGATATAAGCCAAGTAAGAGTTCAAATGAGGATTTGCATTAAAAATGATGTACTCTACACGTTAACAAACTATGATTCAGTTGATTATTTTCAAAGCGGTTAAATTAACTAGTTTCCTGGTGACGATATGAGGGATGTGAGCGATATAGCCATTTCCCTCCGGTGACGGCCAAGACTACCTTTTAGATACCCTTGGATGCATCAAACGTATTCCGAAGCAAAGTTATCTCATGCAGTCTGGTGTTTCAAATTTATCCGCTTTGTGGGACCCGCTGAAGGACAAGTAAAGGGAATGAAAGCAACTTTACCATATCGTAAAGATCCTGCAAATTAAGATTACATATCGGGAAAAACAGTTTTCTTCAGAATAATATGATAATATGGTATGCAGACAGTCAAGATAAGCGCAATATTTGATTCTACTTCTTAAACAGAATCCATAATTGACCACTGGAATAGTCAATAACTTGTGTAAAAAATGTGCGATTCATTTTAGGCGTTTTCGCTCTGAGGGCCGTTTTCAATTCAAATGCAACCCTGCAATGTCAGTAGATGGTTTAATAGCAAGCGGGGTTTACAAATTCTTTCGAAACCGATTCCTCAATATGCAGTGTAATGTTTAATGTTATCAGTATTGCAAGCTCGGCTAGTGGTGGAACGTTGGCCATCTCATTTCTAAACCCAATGTGGCAATGAAGAACAAGCCAATCAACCCCATAAACTATAAAATAAAATGGATGATTTACGATTCCACTGAGTTTAGATATTCGGCTCACACCACTACATCAGTTAAAGGTAAATATTTTTCTCATCGAAAATTAAGCAAACAATCACTACTCACATCGATGCATTCTGATACTTTCGCTGGCCGCTTCGGTAATAATGCCTAATGGTCTGCCGTTTCATTTGCTTCAATCAACCGTCAAAACTTTTGACGTTTGCCAATCTGTGAAGCTATTTGATCAGTGAAATAATGAACAATCTAAGGCTCGAATCACATTACGGACAGCAAAAACTATCATGGCATTGGATATCCACCCATCGTATGGATATTTGTTAATTCAAACCTCGCCTCAGTTGCCCCACTTTTTCAGTTGTTGGTTGATGGCATTTAAAGAACCGCACACCCTTTATGATTACTGTTTTTACTGTTTTCACATATCAAATATAATTACAAGTATTATTAGTATTCTCCTGATAATTGGCAAACGTATCTGACGTTATATGCATGTTTACCAATGGTATTGAGCCACTACGGGGTGATTTTGAAGTTATAGTCTATCTTTTTAGATTTAGTTTCATCGAAACTGTCTTCGTTTGTAATTCAGGGAGAACCAAATTGCTTTCAATACATTCGGGAAACAGTGCCTGAACGACGAAATATTTGCACTGACAACTGAGTGGTTTGATCCGCATGAAATTTAATCTTGTCCAAATCATCAAATTATCTCAAGTCCTGTTCTCCCCAGTTGTCGTGCTTGACTCAAACGATCACGTGTAGTAAGTATACAAACCTAGTCAGCCTGATGCCAGTTAAATGTTCATCATCTTGTTCTTTTGTGAGGAAAAAGGCTTTGTGGTTACATACAAGTGGAGGTGGTTCAGTTCTTTTACACTGATCATTACCCAGTAGACCAGAAATCTCGCCCGAATTCCAACAACCGATCGAAAAGATTGTGCGCGGGGTTAGGTAACTGAGAGACAAGTGGAGCAAATTGCGCTCACATCACTAGAGTGCATACTTATCCACAGGCACACCAGTTCATTCCATTTATGACTTACACAGTCACCTCAGCGATTCAACATATTCATTCATCTGGTCACAACCATCAGTGGGCTTCTGTCTCTGACCGTGTTGGACCTGCTGACGTTGTCACAAGAACACGAATTGCTAGGCGAGAATTACTGGTGCATTGTTTGGTTTCGTTTCTCAAACCAAGTTCATACCACGACAACTATTTCGTTTCAAGCCTTCTTCTCCAACTCCAATTCCGGTTACATCGGTCACACATGCGATGGTGTCGGAACAAGAAGTGGNATGCATCCATAGGTACGTTCACATCAATGAGTATCATTAACCGAGTGAATGTGATGGATCGACGAGGCCATAGCATAGGTGATGTGAGCTTAATTTATTCCACTTTATTCGTCCTGCCGTCTGCAGCACTCTTTCGATCGTCCAATACAATTTTGGATACTGTGAATTTGGGGGAAAATAAAAGACCTAATGGCGTTATATTGTGATTAGGGTATTACTCAACTATGTAATATGAAAGCTTACGATTGACCTTGGGTTCTTATCTTAAGTCAGAGGAATCCTCTGAGTGTTTTGCTTTTAAGGCTTTATATACAGTTTTTTCATTCCAGTAAACACCGGGTAAGTACCAGGCTGGAGTTTTACTATTATTAGATCTCTTCCGCCCCAAATATGTATCAGCTCACAAAAGGTTTAATTTGCTTTACGCGATTACTTTACCTCCAACTTGACTTTGAGAGACACTCACTCAATGGATAATCTAACAGCCTCGATCGTCGATATAGTATATATTCGTTGAGTTTAAACTAATTTCGCGCACCAGGTCGTCTTCCAACCAAAGTTGAGTAAAATTTCTCGATTACTAATACAAGGCCAGGTGTTAAACTCTGCGTTGCTTTTTACTTAGGAATACTTGCTTTTTCGGTTAAGCAATTCTTCGCATTAATTTCACGTAATAGTAAAGGGTTAACACATTTTGGATACCTTCAACCGGTGATCTCTCTCACCCCTTTTTGGTCAATTCAGTATGACACTGATGAAAGAGACAGGAATCACACGTCGATTGGAAGCAAAGTGGTGGTTTCAGAATGATATTTGTTCCTCTGACGAAACACGCTATCGAGCGCTGAATTTTCGCGATGTTGGCGGTGCAGTGATTATCCTGGTGTTCTGCATTCTACTGGGTTGCCTAACGCTCGGTTTGGAGAAATTCTGGTGCCTCTTCACACGTTTTCGTTGTGCTACCGTGGCTCCGGAAGAAACGACCGATTTGCCGAATCCCCGAACATCTGTGGAGAAGCCAAAATAACAACACTATTGATGATTGTTAATCATCGTGGAGGTTTTATTTGGGAGGGTGCCACAGGCCACATAACGGATCAAGCTGGCGCTTCGTGAATTCCAAAGACAACTGATAAGATAAAGTTTTCATGCGTGATTTCAGTATTTCAAGTCACTGTCCGATTTTGTTCCCGTCATTTACTTTCAACTTGTGATTTATCTGTTCAGTGTTCTGTTGCCCCATCAGTCTTCTCCCATCATTATCATGATGCGATATGTTCGAAAATCTCAAATTGGAGAGCGTCGTCGTTTATTAGTGTCTTTTCATATGTAAATAGATCTCATCAACCATGAAATACACCTGTGCTCCCTAAAGGAACACAACTGATAGTTTAGTCGAAGTTTCCGGAACACTATGGTAGGTGATCAACCACCATAATTATATTGGAGATTGCGGTTCGTGGATTGTCAAAGAAAAAACGACATAATGATACTCATCAGAATACATCAACCAAAGAGTTCATTTTCGATTTTCTTATGGAGCCATGTTTCAGGTGCCATACCATATGGCTCTTTACCAACCGAAAGATGAAATTAATGTGAAAGAGGCCGAGTTATCCCGATAGTACGCACAGCTACAGTTATTTTCCGGCAAATAAATCAAAGTGGGGCGAAAAAGGGTCTACTTTGCTAATAAAAGAAAAGATTTCATGTGATAAAAATAGAAGAGCCTCAAGTTAGTACCTTGCACTAGGCCTTATAAAAATCAAATAAGGGAGTTGAGATGCTCCGCGTTACGTTTACTGCCAAGTCATGTTCGTCATGTGCCATGCAACGCGAACACAATATAAATTGAAATGATCTGTAAACCAGTAAGAAGACAGCATGTAGGATTTGTTAAAATATTCGCATCTCACTGAAATGGCATTTGACTACTTCTATTGCTCTTTTTTCTGTTTAAGCATTTCCGATGAGCAGTACATGTATTTTATAAAATATGATTGATTCCTTGGAGTTTTCCGTATTCACCGAGGTCCACGGGACTAGTCAAATTGTAGACCGTTAGGGAAAATAGTTAACATGAGTGAGTGGCAAAATTGATGTCAATCACCCCGCATCTTTTCTAATTTTATAAACGTGTCATTTACCCGAATCCAAATTCACAATCAACCATTACTATCACTATTAGTCTTACTTTCATCCTAATATTTTCTTCATCGATGGGTCAAATGCACTGCCCAACTAGAGCATTAACACCAAAGCATGGAAAGGCACGCTTCTTAGTTGTGGAACCTGACCTGTATTATAATTTACCACAGTTTCCACGCTTTTGAACAAGCCACTAACCTAAGGCTTTACTCCAGCCGTACGCTCTTATGAATACGGAAAGCTTGGTATAAACTGTATGAACCAATCCCTTGATCGCACATTTTATTGTTTGATACCGAGCCATTGTCTGGACACCCTCGAAATTCTCCGAGCGCCTTTAGCTCTGCAACAATCAAACAGTTGGGGACTGCACAACACACCTATACCGCATTTCACAATCTACCACAGCCCAGGAATGACCCGTGTCTGAATGTGATTAGTTACGGTAGTTCCCCTAACCTCGATATCATTCAGTCGGCCCACCAGGTTCGCCCAATACTTCCCGGAAAACGCCACAACACTCAGTAAGCTGCGTCAGGTTGTTGTCGAAATCACTCGATTCTTTGAGAAAAGCCAAATGACCGGATCATACTGAAGATATCTTTTGCCAGAAAACATTAAACGGACTTCCTGTATGCATGCCAACTATTTCACAAAGATTCGTACACCGGGGTAGATGTTGAATATCTCCATTACTTCTCCTATCTAACTGATATTGGGAGTGAGGCCAATCGCATTCTGCAAAATAAATCATTTCATGTGGGTAATGGAGGATTTGGTTAAATTTCAAATAACAATTCGTCGTGTATATAGCAAATGAAGAGTGAACTGAAAAACTCGGAAGCATTGGAAAGCTGTTTCGACCTGGTTGTGTGTGAATCCATCGACCCGACCGGGGATCGAACCCGGGACTTCATGGGCAGAACGCAAGCGTGCTACCCTCTACGCCACCGGGCAGCTGATCAAACCGTTTTCATTTCTCATTCACACGATATAGCACAACCCATCTTTGAAAGTTTGTTGCGGGCCACGGACCCTGCTCAATGGGTACAGTTTCGGCATATTTCGACTTCACCCGACGGTAAATTAATTTCTAAAATTTCTTCTGGAGTAGAAAGGGACCAACCTGTATGACTCCCTCTTTTGGGGAGTGATAGCGTTAGAAAAATAGCCAGCAAATTAAACGCAGCGGCATCTTTTCGCTCGCAGTGTGTGTAAAAGTAAACCAACCCTATCCAATGCATCATTACTGAGAGGTAGCACCAGAGTAAGGTGCATTCATCTGAGCCAGATTTTCCTTCGAAACACAAGGAAGACATAAATGATAGGTCTACAAGATTAATGCCAGTTTTCTTCATGATGAGTGCACTTCAGAAGGAAGATACAACTTTGTGTTACTCAAATTAGTTCCTCTGTGGATTTGCTCCCAAGTTTCTAAATCGATGGGGAGATTGATGCACAACATTTGTTTTCCATCATATATTGAGCCAGGGAAACGTGTTACCCCAAAGTCCCATCTAAGCTATTCCTAAAAGGGAACAGATACAATTCAGCTGTCCCAGGAGATGTTCCTGATTGCTGATTGTGGATCAATGCAATGAAATCATGCACCCCGGGACAAAAGTTCACAAACCGAATTTCAACAGAGGTCAGATGATCAGTGCCTCAAAAGTTCCCATCCGTCATTTCATGTAATTATTAAAATTAAAATAATGCTCTATCAAACTCAATAATCGCCTATTAGATAACTCCATGAAGAACATTGGGAACTTGGTGAAAGTGACATTCTCACCATCACTCAGCATCCATTTCTTTAGGAGGATACTCCTTTATGCCCTGCAAGCCGTCGAACAACAGGGTGTCGACAGCGATCTTACTTGTTGGTGAGCCATTTTCTCGCTCATCACGATACATCATCTTGCATCTTTGCTTAGTCGTGCATAACCGTTCATTTTGTAAAACAATACACAGTTAATCATGGTTGCACATTAAAATGACCACGATCATTTCCGCTGCCTGAAATTCCTGCGGTGTGCCTGAGAATAGGTTCAATTTCTGGACAAATGAGGAAATTCAGACGAGTAAGTTGTCAGTAGATACATAGGAATAAGACCTACAAAGTCAAAACAATGCAAACAACGGCATTCGGTTTCAGAACTGTTGTTACCACGACCGTAATTACTCTACCCCTTAGTCCCCTTATTTCATTCCTTACCAAACTGCTGCTTTCAAAACCGTTCTGACCATGTAATTTCATTAGTTTATTTAGCGGTACTATTTGGCGCTCCTTTCTGATAAGTTTCCCTCGACTCTTAGCATTATCTCGCTATTTGTTTTTCATATGTTCCAATGTTGCGTGACATCCTAATAGTGTGACTAATCAAACTAAGCAGTTGGATAACTGGGAACTATTCCAAAAACATTTTGCACTTTAGCAAATTGGTTTTATTTGATTTCAACAGTTTTCATTGTCCATATCAGTTTAACTATGGTTTTATTTAATGTAGGCTGTTGAATTACGGATGGTGTATGTAATGCGTAGGATGAATATATATATATTTCTTGGTACCGATCTATTCCTCCTCATTTTCCGACACAAAAGATCTCACATTACCGCATTCACGTGTGCCGTATTTATATTTTCATCATTTTACACGTCGTGGCATATAATTGAACATGTTTTGTGCCCACTAACACTGTAGACAAATTCAGTTATATTATTGTTAAAACCAAAGTAAAACGTGTATGGCATTCACCAATCAGTGACTCGGTGAACTATTAGATTTGTTGGCTGGAGAAATGTGTGCCAGTTTGGGGATGTATAAGAGAAAATAGGGATCAACCAAACAGTACAATGAGCCGGAATAAAGCCCACATATTTCGTGTCATCCACCAAATATAAGTGAGCGTTACTGATTCCTTTCTTATCTAACTTGGTCCGGAAACTACGACTCAAGAAAGGGAGAAAACGAATAGTTTCGATCGACTGACGTGCGTCTCAGCGTATCCAAGCTCAATCCATGAAGACCACTGTTTGATTTTTCAAATAGCTGTGACTGACGAGGTATTGCCTGAATATATGTATCTCGTATGTCCATGGATCGGGTCCTCAGAGTTCTTCTTGTTCGTTGTCTGGTAACCAATGAAATGTGATGGCTGGGTAATATATCACTGGTCAATAGGGGTGACGCTGCTCGGTAAGAACCATTGACAGAGCGCACTGAGGAGATCAATTTGGATAGTGGTGTATCTACCCAGCTTTTTGAGTATTTTACAGGCCCCAATGGAGGTAGATTAGAAGAGTTTTTACTCGTTGTGTCCGTCCATCGGACGTTTAATGAGCGTGGGCACGATTCCCTCGGAGGAGGTTGCATTTGATAAACTTTCAGTATGCTCAAGCTTACTTTGATTTATAAGACAGTTCAATACTTGGAAATTTGAATATGTTTTCTGGTCAGACTACTTCGCATATCACATGACATGTGAGGTACACGTGACCGATTGCTGTTGGTGCAAACACATGCGATCCTCCAGAGTTTGCTGACTAACCTTGGCTAGATTCAAACTAACCATAGGTTCATATCACAGGTATTAGACAACTGGTTAAAAACACATCACGCCCGTAGAACTGAATAAGAACGATACTAGTCACTAGGACTGCGTTACTTTATGTAAACAAGGGGGACTTAATTGCATTCTTTTCTCACTAATATTAGAAGTAAACGCAGATTGTTTTGCTGCTCGAGTGTTTAACTAATCAACTCTAGGTTTCTTCAGGCAAATTATTTACCTGGGTGTCACAAATACGTTGGATTTATGTGTCGCCCTATCCTTCAATCAACAAATACTGAACGATTAACTCAGAGATGATGATCAGTT